TACAGGTCATACTTGGCTTTTCTGTCCAGTAATAGTAAGCGTTCATGTTTCTTGATTTTATATTGTTTACTTAGCACCTACCACAGTATTTGGAATGTCATAGGTGTTCAGTTTTGAATTACATTGAATTAATGTAATATTCCATTAGGTGTTGATGATTGAAGGGTGTAATTTTATTGCTTTGATCACTTGCTTCATCACACCTGACAACCAACGTGATATGAGAGATACCAGCATGCGCTCTGCTCTCCCCACGCCGAGGTAATTTCATTCCATTTATTGTAGTGACTCCTCTCCATGGCCAGAAAACTGAGTTTGTTCATATTTATACCAAGCTTTTGCAATCCTTCCCTGGAGAGAATTAAGGATTACAAGTTCATGTAGAAGATTTTGTTAATAACATTTTTTTAAAAAATATATTTTATTGATTTTTTACAGAGAGGAAGGGAGAGAGATAGAGAGTTAGAAACATCGATGAGAGAGAAACATCGATCAGCTGCCTCCTGCACATCTCCCACTGGGGATGTGCCCGCAACCCAGGTACATGCCCTTGACCGGAATCGAACCCGGGACCCCTCAGTCCGCAGGCCGACGCTCTATCCACTGAGCCAAACCGGTTTCGGCTGTTAATAACATTTTTGATGAAAAATCTCAAGCTCTTCATAACCTAGGGTCAGGCAGGCTGCATTGGGCCTGATGGAGGAAGAAGGGAAGGACGAAACGCTTCTGCTGTGACTTTAAACCCTTCCAACTGCTGATGACATTTCCCCAAGAGAGCAGGAAGCACAGGAAGAGAAAAATGCAGGAGAACCTTGGGGGCATCTGCGTTTAGGCTTGACTGTGGACAGGGGTTGTGAGAATTCCAAGGAGACCAATGGGCAGGGAATCTATAATAGACTCCAGAGTAGAGCCTTGCAGGGCAGATCCATCAGTGACTTTCAAACTTTTGTCACAGGTTTCCTGGAAGGTATATTTTTCATCAGGTGGATGGTCTGCACATGCATAACTGGAACGAATACGGTAGGAAACAGTGCAGACAGTCCTTGATGTATAATGGTTTGACTTAAGATTTTCCGACTTTCTGATTCTGATATCAGGGAATTTGAATGTGGCATTTTGAATTTCGATCTTTTCCTGGCTATCGATGTGTGGGTTGATACTCTCATGATGCTGGGCAGTGGCTGGGAGCCATAGCTCCCCATCAGCTGTGCTGTCAGGAGTGTGAACAACCGATACTCTACAGTGCACTGTGTTGCTAGCATTTTGGACATTTTTGTGTTTTGTGTTTTTGCATCCCATCGTGTCTATGAAACACCCATATGTGTCTCTTGCTTCTGGTGAGAAGAAGCAGGCAGTTATCCTAATATGAAACTCAAGATAATTGCCCAATTGTGGGCTAATGTCAGTGTTTGGAGCATGTTTAAGGTAGGCCAGGCTAAGCTATGATGTTGGCAGTTAGATATAGTCAATGCATTTTTGACTTAATGATATTTTCAACTTATGATGGATGTATTGGGACGGAACCACATTATAAGTAGAGGAGCATCTGTACCCTTTTTTCTTGGGCCATAAGCCACCAACATTTTCTGTTCTGTTGGTATTGTTCTATGCTCTGCAATGTTATTTACACAAATTCTGTTCTCATGCCTAAATTTATCTTAGGATTCTGGTGGCTTAGTCTGGTGTCAACTTAGAAGCCAGAAATGAATCGGCAGGGGCCATATATTTTAGACTCTGACGGTTGTTGGAGGGTGCTGGGCATTGCGGCAGCCCTGCAGGGTATCTCTGACCTGCAAGCTTACCTGTTAGCACGAGGCAGTGCCCAGACCCGCAGCAGGTCCAGGTCCTGCCAGCTCACCTTCATCTTCTGGGGAGCCCTGAGCCCAGTGTGTGTGCGGGTCCAGCATGAAGAGCTCAAGCTTCTGTTGTAGGTCACTCCCAACTGCCAGGTAGGAGTTGATGAGAAATAGACGTGGGTTCCAGTTGTCCTCATGGCCCCCGGGTTCTCATGGGCTCAGTTTTGTTCTTGCTTTTTCACGACCAGCTTCCTTCATAACTGCCGGCCTGGCCAACCTGTGGTGGCTTTAGGCTCAGTAGTACACGCAGAGGCAGCAGCCTGTGCAGACTGTTTCACCAACTGCCAATTACCCACAGCAGTTGTGCTTCTCTGATCTGACCTTGACCTAAATAATATGACCTGCAGGGTGAGTACCACTGCAGTTGCTTGTCTATTTGGGAATAGGAAGGAAATTAGAACTTTTTATGTATACTTGTTTTTGTCTCATTTAAAATGCCCATGTTTGTGTGTATTTTTAATGTAAATAGCTGTACTAGTTGAAAATGGACATAGTTTATGTTAATAAGTGCTTATGGTTGTAAGTAGATATATTTATAAGTAATTATACTGTATTAAGGATTCCCTACCCCAGTCCTTTTTTAAAAAAAAAAAAAAATCCTCACTGATGGATATTTTTTCCATTGATCTTTAGAGAGAGTGGAAGAGGAGAGAAGAGGGGGAAAGAGAGAGAGAGAGCCGGGGTGGGGGGGGGGGGAGACATCAGTGTGAGAGATATATCAACTGATTTCCTCCTGCATGCTCCCTTCCAGGGCTGGGGGTTGAACCTGCCACCCTTTGGTCCGCTGGCTGGCACTCTAACCATTGATGGTTCACTGGCTGGCACTCTAACCATTGAGCCAAAATGGCCAGGGTCCTACCCCAGTTTTTTTCTGTTATTTTTTCGGAGACCTTTGAAGGCCACTGTCTGAGAAGCAGCTGCTGAGAGTGTTGGGAAGGAGAGAGTGTTAGTATTGCCTGCTGTGAGGCCCCTCCTTCATCAGAAGTGCATTTCTGTTAACTGGAGACCACTGATGCACAGTAGTGGGTGTCATGGCATCGAGATCATATTTGCCCAAGTGATAATTAGACATAGGCTTTGGCAAGTCCTGGGTGTTTCTGGAGAGAAGGGAATGGAAGATATGAAATCAGCCACCCTCCAGCCACCTGCCCCGTGGGTGTGCCCCCAGGGCCCTTCCTACCCACCAGCATGACCTAATATGTCCCTTTAGAATATGGTTTGGTTGTTATGTACAAAAAACTTTCTGGAGACAAACTGTATTCCAGCTCAAACCATGTGCAGAAATGCTGAGAGTGATTCTTCAGAGAAAAATATTTGAGGTCAATTATTATATATTCAATGAATTTCTCCAGAACGATGTGGCAGGATAAAATGACAGAGCTGGTACAAACAGTGACATCTCACAAATTTAAAAATGCTGAAGAAGGATCCAGAATTAAAGACTTTTTTTTTACGGCAGTAGCAATTTCATTTGAAAGGTTGCTGAAAGTGTTTATTACCTCAAAAATCTTTAAACAAGCTAATTAAGAATAAAACACATTGTGAAGTCATTGGTTAGGCTTCATGGATTTAGCTTGTAGAGGATTTAGCTATTTACTTGTCTATTCTTCTCCAAAACAACAGTGTAAATATCACGTATAAGCTATATTACACTGAGCCGTGTAAATATCACATATAAGTTATATTATATCAAATATATCCTATATGTACTTATTATTATGGACAGAAAAGGTAGAGACACAATAAATAAGTAAGCCAAGAGTCTCAACTTTGGGCATTCAGAGCAACACATCAAGTTTTCCCTTGAGGCTGTGTTTTTATACATAGTATTTAAAATAGCAAGGCCACACATTTATTTGCATTTCATTTGCATATAATCTGCATACAGCCTTACATATTACACATGTCTCCTGGGGTCTTCAGAGTAATTTCCCCCCCCCCCCCAAAGCCTGTGAAGATACTCTAAACCAAAAATGACATCTGGGGAAAGAAGAAACAAAAATAACAATCTCATAGTGCTTTTAGTTTTCACTTTTTCCAGAGACAGAAGTACCCTGGGAGGTAAAAATCAGTTGTTGAGAGAACAGTTCTTTGTTTCTTTTCTCCTTAATTGTAAAAGCAGCCCCCCACCTCATCCTCTACCCCCAGTCTGAACTGTTTGGTACATAGCCCCTTATCTCTGTTTTTGTGCTGGTGTGTAAGAGATGGATGTTTGGTAGAAACGTGTGCTATGGCTTTGCAGGAAGAATACACAAGTATTGTCTTCCATTGAGCTGACACTGGTAGTGGGACCATAGATTTAATTCAAGTCTGTGCCAGTGACCTGGAAATCCACATGGAAAGATGCTGTGACATGGTCTGTAACAAGAAAAGGGAAGAGAACTTGAATTTGCATCTCTCTCTCTCCCTCTCTGTCTCTGACAGGGGTGGGAAAATGCTTGTAAAACAATAACGTGACACAAAATTTCACAATTTACTTTTAAGAATTATTTTGAGGAAATAAAAATTTCCCCTGTCCCCAAATTTGAATAAACATTGCTTCAGCCTCTAATGCATGAGAATCAAAGAAGAAGTGAAACAGATTAGGCAAGTATTAAACTCCGGAGCAGAAAATTTAAAAACAAAAAGGTTAAACGAGAGTTGGTTTCAGTGTTTTAATAATTGTGCCTATTATAATAAACTAGAGCTGATTTAAAGTTACTATAGTTAGTTTATTTTGTAACATCAGTGCCTCCAGACATTGGCATTGTAGGGTGTTGAGTCAGACGTGGACTTCATAATCAAAAGGAAAGATGCGTACTAGGTGTGGAGCTATCGAAATACAGCTGCATTATTTAAATTCCCTACAACTAATGTTGCAAACATTTTTCGTGAGATAAATATTTTTACTGACAGGTCTGTACTATGTCAAGTAAGAACACGTTGGATAGAAACGATGCAAAGGTTTTCAGATAGTCCCGAACGAGATGGATGGGAAGGCTCCTTTCTGGAGATGGCAGACAGGACCAACTTTAAAAAAAATAAAAAAAATTTTTTTTTGCCTTTTTTGGCATTTAAATCATCAAGACTGATGAAAGTGCTAATTATGGGGACTTAGTGCACATCTGGAAAGCAATTTGGGAAAACACAGAGGCAGCTGAGCCACCCTGTTTGGAATGATCATTTGCTGAGCAACAAGTATGGAGTGAATACCGCAGCCTAAGATGTTTGCTGTCTTTGGCCTGAGTTAGTTGAACAGCTGTTTTCTCCCTCATGAGCTACAGATATATTTTGAGGCTCCCACATTGCTAGGAAGTTCCGAGTGATTGGGAGTGAGGGCTGGGGGACTAAATGTTTTTACTAGTAGGAAAAAAGTTTGATCAACAGCTTCGAAACTTTGGAACTGCAGTGAACGAACGGTTGGTTTTGAAGGTGTTGCTAGGATGTTTGAGAGAGGAGAGAAAAAGGGGAAAAGTAAGTGGAACAAAGCTACATTAATAATTGAAATTTTTTTGGAGTGGCCTTGATTTAGTCCATGAAAACAGTGGGTTGTGATAACTTGTACAGCTCATATAAAGGCTGGTTATTTTTGTGAGAAGGCAGAATTCCAGATGAGAGTGCTTGGCTGTGACACTACAACTCCTAGTGCCTCTGTAAATGAGGGATAGATAGATAGGTAGATAGCTAGGTAGGTAGGTAAATAGATGATAGGTAGATGATAGATAGGTGTTAATTTCCATTAAGAATGTATAACATGACTAACAGGCTCACTCAGACACTCAGGTATTAGATGTGGATGTTGTACTTGGTCGAAGGTGACAGGTATGTTTCATTTCCTGGATGGATGAAAGAAGGTTTCTGGGTGAGGACAGCAACGTATTCTGGGGAGACCAAGACCACTCTAGAGAGCCCAGGGTCTCCCAGAGGCCCTAGTTGTTGTGGGGAGTAGCAGGATCAGGGTGAAAACTCATAAAACTGGGTTTAGATAAAGTGTTTGAATGTCCTGTGCCCTCCACCTTCTAACACACTCCAAAGGGAGCTCTTTGGGCTCTGTCTCTGCTGGGCGAGTGAGCTAAGAACGGGGTTCTCGGAGAGAACTGGAGGGACGGTGAGGGCTTTGTTTCCTTGACGTGTGAGCAAACATCCCAGGGTAATGGAGGCAGATGCTGATGCTAAAGGTGGCCCGGCTCCCTCTGTCCTTGGAGCTGTCCAGGTGCTTGCTTCCCCGCTGGCGGAGGCAGCTGTGGACGGGCCCTTGCCTTGGCGGGCACTTTGCTCTCACAGTCCTGGCTGTCAGTAGCTGGTGGTCAGGACAGATGTTCCCATGGGAAGCAGCTCACATGCCCTTCCTCTTTGCTGAAGATTCTTCCAGTCCTTTCTCCTGGTGTTAGCCCAGGCGCACGGGGTGGGAGAGGGCCCACTGGCGGGAAAGCCGCCACCTTGGGGGCTGCTTGTTGATTGCTGTCTGGCTCCACTGGTCCGCCCCGTCTGCACACCTCAGCTCCTTCCTCAATGGGTTGGAACTGGGGAGGGAGGTGAAGGGCCCTGACGCCGGGCTGGTCAACTTGGGGCTTATTTTGTAGGATGGGACATGGGGGTGGAATGGCTCTTTCCCAGGGGCGAGAGACCCAATCAGATCTGTTTACTAGTGTATGGCAAGGTCACATGAGCGGGTCAATGGCAGATTAGGAGGCAGGAGAACCAGGTGGGAGGTTGTAGACATTCGTGCGGTGGCCCGTGTGGCATGTGCTGCTGAGTTGAGGCGGGTCAGGGCAGACCTTTGCATTGTGATTTGATTTCACCCATTATTTCAGGAACCTCACCTTAAGATATTCTGAGGGGCTTCCCTCTTTCCTAAGAGTGACTGTTTTCTGACAATTTCCTTGACTGAAGACAGAAAAGCAAAGGCCCGTAGGGTAGGCTGGCCGCCTCTGTGGATTTCCTCAGAGGCTCAGCACAGAGTCCACCCCTGACTGATGTTATTTCCTAATTTACTCGACAGTGAACATTTGAAGAGCAGGGTCAGTTCCCACCTCTCTACACTGTCCATCCAGCCTGTCCTCTCAGACAGTGAGGGAGTGACTTTTGCCCAGACGTGTTCAAATAGCTCACTAGCTCTATCCTGGGGACTTGGAGGCAACTATCGCAAATGTGGGAAGGGAAAAATATTTTCTAGAAATTCATTGCTTTCAATTTCTGTTTCCCCGTTTAGTTCTGTAAAACCAGGGAATGCAGAAGTGGGGGTAGTGATGATTGTTGCTCTGAGGCAGGCTCCTGACAAGCCCCCGAGGTCTGCAGCACAAGGCTCTGGAGAACTCTTAGTCCCCAGACCTGAGCTGCGCCTAAGTGTGCTTTTCAGTGTGAGACACGTTTCCCTGTGTGGGTGGTGCTGCTGTGAATTACGCCAAGAGGCTGGCCCGGGGTCTGTGAAATACAAAGTGTGTGCACCTTTCATGTTGTCTAAAACTTGCATTTTTGCGGGCTGTCTTGGTAAAATCATTTTTCTGGGTTGTCTTGGTAAGGTCATTTACTCAAACCAAAGGAAGGTGTGCTGGGAGGTGAAAAGGGGTAGGGGAGACCTTTCTCCGAATGAAGGGAGGAAGGAAGGAATGACTAGAAGAAAGGGCATAACTTACAAGTGGCTGCAGCATGTTTGTCGTCTTAGGTGTCTGTGTTCAGACATGTATTTAGGAATCAGCTCCCTTAAAGGAAGACTATAGTCGGAAACATGACCTTATAGTGAATGTTATGAACTACGTAGCTTTTGAACACTTACTGTGTACCAGGTGGACTTGGATGGGCTAAGTTCTAAGTGGTTTATGATCCTTCATTACTCCTTCCTGTGAGGGAGGGACTGTTACTCTCCCACTGTTGCCAGAGGTCAGGAATGTGCCTGAGGTCAGGGAACCACACGTGCCAGCGAGCTGGGTGTGAACTCAGGAGTGTGGGCTCCAGCACAGCTTCTGGGCACTTTCCTCAGGAAAGAGACAGATGTGATTCCTTATTTGTTTAGGCGACTTTGTAATGTGTACTTTTGCGTCTGTACTTGGAATGACTCCACTTTCCTGAGGGTCTCCTGGGAGGGGATGGTTCAGGTGTGTCCCAGATGCAGCATTCCCCGTAGGTTGCTGAAATCTCGGATGCCAATCAGAACTTCTGGGAGTGGTGTCCTGGCATCAGGATTTCACAAAAGCTTCCCAGGAGGTTCTGATGCAGCCAGGGCCCACGGGGCTTTAGGGAGCCTCGTACTGACTCGTGCCTCTGCTGGAGGTACCTTAGCCGTGCTAACCAGGCAGAGGTGTGGGTTAGCTGTGGCTTGGGTACCACACAGTCCCAGGATGGGAGCCTGGCTTCTTTGCTCATTAGCCCTGCCAGCTGGGGCTGTTGCTCAACTTCTTGGAGTTAAAGTTTGTCTATCTATACAGCGAGGAACTAGGTCCTGTGTCCAGGGGCTGTGCTGACGTTTGGAATTGTCACCTGGCACATGTTCCCCACATAATAAATGACAGCTATCACCGAAAACCCTGTGGAGAGGGAGACGGCATGGCGTGGGGCGTCTGCAGGTGGACTGACTGTCTTTGTTCTTTCCCTGTTTCTCCTCCCGCCCTCCTCACCTTCAGGATGGCTCCCTGGGCAACATCGATGACCTGGCACAGCAGTATGCAGATTACTACAATACCTACTTCTCCGATGTGTGCGAGAAGATGGAGGAGCTACGCAAACGGCGGGTTTCCCAGGACCTGGACCTGGTGAGTGCGTGGCACTGGGGACGTGCTCCTGCCCAGCCGGCTGCTCCTGTCCCTGCTCGTGGCCCAACACCCCCTCCTTGGGCCTTCTACGGTATTGATGTGCATGGAGCATCAAACTGCAAGCTGCTGAACTAGTTTGGGATGAAAAATTTCAGATCCCTAAAGGGTTAATAACCCAGTTCTGCATGTATCAGACTGAATGAGTATTGGCTGGGGCAGTATGATCAAAACTTTGTATTCATTAAAAGGCTTGATTTTTTTTCTTTAACTTAAGGGAAAGGATGTTTTTACTGTTGGCCAGTATATTAAGTACAACCTTTTAATTGACTTTTAAGCCCAAAGGATGTCCAAGCTACTTCTGTCCTTCCTTCCTACCTTCCTTTCTTCCTCCCTCCCTTCCCCTTCTCCTCTTCTTTTTCCTCCCTTTTTTCCTCCTCCTCCTCCTCCTTTTAAAAACAAAATAAGATTTAAAAAAGCAAGAACCGCGCCCCCCCCCCTCCCCCCCAATCTCCCACCTAGCAATAACCATGTTGGTATTTTAGCAGATCTCTGCTCAGAAGTTGTCTGGGCATTTTTATATCAGCAATGTAATTCTTGCTTTTTTCCTTAATATTTTATTATATTCTTCCTTTTTTAAAAATATGTTTTTATTGATTTCAGAGAGGAAGGGAGAGAGAGAGAGAGAGAGATAGAAACATCACTGATGAGAGAGAACCACTGATCAGCTGCCTCCTGCATGCCCCCTACTGGGGAGCAAACCTGCAACCCAGGCATGTGCCCTTGACCGGTATCGAACCCGGGACCCTTCAGTCCATAGGTGACGCTCTATCCACTGAGCCAAACCAGCTAGGGCATATTTTTCCATGTTTAAGACCTCTTTGTCATCACTATTTTCATGGCTGCATTCTCTTCTTTCACTCAGGTATATTGAAATCCATTTGGCTGGTTTGTAAAGGGTTTTATGTGTATAATTAGTGGAGCATTTGAACTTGCATGTGATAAGTAGTAACTGAATAGCTTAGATCCTCTCTAAATAGATAATCTATATGTATGCTAGTATTTCCATGTTGTGCATTTATTGTAAAATACCTTACTGGAACTTCTGCTTTACTAGTTAAAATTTGCTGCTTATGTTATACTTGAATGCATTTTGGTTCAGTGCTTTTCAAATTGTTTTGTTTCCCTGTGGTGACTTAAGACCACTTCAGGAATGTGAGGCAGATGAAGAGGCTAAACCCTCTGTGCCTCCTCACCACATCTGGATCACCTCCGTTTTGGCCATCTTTTATGTATCAGAGGCTATGTGGACCAGTTTTAAAATAGAGCTTTGAAATATGAATCTTAAAAAAAAAAGTTTGAAAATTATTGATTCAATTGAATCCTTAACATTATTTTTCTTAGATTGGGAATGAAAAAAAAAAAAGACCCATTAAGAAACTAGCAACAGATTCTCTTTTATTAATAACTAGAGGCCTGGTGCACGGATTCATGCACCAGTGGGGTCCCTCAGCCTGGCCTGCCAGGATCAGGCCGAAACCAGCTCTCCGACATCCCCCAGGGGACCCGGATTGCGAGAGGGAGCAGGCCAGGCCGAGGGACCCCACTGGTGCACGATCGGGGCTGTGGAGGGATCCTGGGAGGGCTTGAGGGCGTGTCCTGCCCATCTCACCCAGTCCCGATTGGGCCCTATTGGGGCCATCTTGCCTAATCCTGATTAGGGCAATTGGGGTCAGCTGGCTGGGGAGGGACTGCAGGAGGTTGGCCGGCCAGGGAGGGACCACAGGAGGGCTCCAGGGCGTGTCCGGCCCGTCTCACCTAGCTCCGATCAGCTGGACCCCAGTAGCAAGCTAACCTACGGGTCAAAGCATCTGCCCCCTGGTGGTCAGTGCACATCATAACGATTGGTCAACCGGTTGAACGAATGGTTGGACACTTAGCATATTAGGCTTTTATTATATAGGACTAGAGGCCCGGTGCACAAAAATTTGTGCACTCGGGGGGAAGGGGGGGTCCCTCAGCCCGGCCTGTGCCCTCTAGCAGTCTGGGACCCCTCGGGAGATAATGACCTGCTGGCTTAGGCCTGCTCCAGGGTGGCAGAGGGCAGGCCCAATCCCTAGGTGAAGCCCCTGTTAGGGCTCAGAGCAGGGCCAATTGGGGGGTTGGGGCACCACCCCCTGTCACACTCAAGGCAGGGTCGATGGGGAGGTTGTGGCGCCACCCCCTGTCACGCACAGAGCAGGGCCAATCCAGGGGTTGGGGCACTGCCCCCTGTCACACACAGAGCAGGGCCCATCAGGGGGGTTGGGGCTCCGTACCCTGTCACACACAGAGCAGGGCCCATCAGGGGGGTTGGGGCACTGCCCCCTGTCACACACAGAGCAGGGCCCATCAGGGGGTTGAGGAGCTCCCCCCTGTCACTCACAGAGTAGGTCCGATAGGGGAGTTGGGGCACCGTCCCCTGTCACACACAGAGCAGGGCCAATCAGGGGATTGGGGTGCCACCACTGTGACACTCAGGGCAGGGCTGATGGGGAAGTTATGGCTCTACCCCATCACACACAGAGCAGGGCTTGTGGGGGGTGGGGGGGGGTTAGGGCGCCACCCTCTATCACCCACAGAGCAGGGCCGATCAGGGGGTTGGGGCGCCGCCACTCTCACACTCAGGGCAGGGCCGATGGGGAGGTTATGGCTCTACCCTGTCACACACAGAGCAGAGCCCGGGGGGGGGGGGGGAGGGGGTTGGGGTGCTGCCCCCTGTCACACACAGAGCAGGGTCGATCAGGGGGTTTGGGCGCTGCCCCCTGTCATGCTGATCCCGGTGCCGGGAGGCCTCTCGGCTCCGCTGATCCCGGTGCTGGGAGGCATATTACCGTTTTACTATATAGGGTAGAGGCCTGGTGCATGGGTGGGGGCTGGCTGGTTTGCCCTGAAGGGTGTCCCGGATCAGGGTGGGGGTCCCCACTGGGGTGCTTGGTTAGCCTGGGTGAGTGGATGATGGCTGTTTGCAGCTGGTCACACACCCTTCAGGGTGGGGGTCCCCACTGGGGTGCCTGGCCAGCCTGGGTGAGGTGCTGAGGGTTGTTTTCAGGCTGGGGGTGACTGAACTCCCAACCGCTCCTTTTTTCCTTTTTTTTTTTTTTAATTCTGGGCCAGCTTTAGCTTGAGGCTTGGCTCTAGGTTTCTGGCCTTTGCATACAATGTTGCGAATCTGCTGGCTGAAGTCCTGCGGTATTTGTTACAATGTTTGAAACTGCAGGCTTAGAGGCCTGCAGCCGCAGGCGGGGAATGTTGGTTTCCTCCGTCACTGAGGCAACCAAGCCTCATGTTAGTTTCAAGCTGCCTGGCTGCCAGCTGCCATCTTGGCTGACAGTTAATTTGCATATCTCGCTGATTAGCCAATGAAAAGGGTAGCGGTCATATGCCAATTACCATGTTTCTCTTTTATTAGTGTAGATATTATATAGGATTCATTTTATGTTATAAGGACCTGTTACGTAAGGACCCAACTAGTGGTTTAGGCTGCACTGCTATATATTCTGTAAGTAGACATGATCCACCTCCACCGAGTAAGACGTTGGCCTTCTTATGAGCTTTAATTTCTTCTCTTAACTTGGGTCAGGAATAACATTTTATCATGACTGTCAAATAATTACTGATTCTCCTTTTGTGCTCACTGGCTTAGCCGTTGGCAGGGGTGGGCATTAATATAAGAAGAAGCATCAGTTGGGGACAGCTGGGAGCCTGACACCGTGGCCCAGGCAGACCCGTGGTCGTCTTTGTTGCCAATGGCTTCTTTTCTATAACTTTGTCTCCTGGCTTGTGTGAACTGCGAGGCTATTTTATTTCTTTCCTTTAAAGAAAGTAACATTATGTGACAAAAAGACTCCTCTGCTTCTGTTAAAATTAATTAGGCTCTCCTGTTGGGGCATAGTTAATGAAAAAAGACTTTCCTTTTGGCAAGATTGCAGCAGAAGAACTTAAATATTGCACAGAGTTTGCAAGTTTGACCTTGAATGATAGTCTGGTAGCATACTTTGTGGCGTCCCTGGACATTTCACTGTGCAAGGAAATGATCTCCATGAATTGGGAGCAGTGTTCTCCCCAGAATTCTCGCTGGTTAGTAAGTAAGGTTACCATCATCATCCCACGGTGTTTGGGAACCTCTTCCCATGTAGACAGATGGGCCCAATTTGCTGTGCTCTCTTCCAGAGCGGCAAAAGGCAGTCTGGGGAGGAGAAACACCACATGAGCTTAATTAGTTCTCATCAAAGGTGCTAGAATGTGGTGGTGAGTAGCATTGATGGGAACCGATTCGGGTGCGGCTAAATACTCTGTTCCCCCTTTAAACTGTAGTTTGTGAGAAAGTAAGATGCCCAATCGACATATTCAAGTTCTCTTTCTGTGAGATTGAAGGCCAGTTGCAGCTGGCAAGGGGCGGTCTCTAACTGGAGGAGACCAGGGTGGGTGCCCTGTGCCTCCCATGCCGTTCACAGGCCCCCGGAGTCTAGACGTCCCTGTTAGACGGTTAAGGTCATCATTCAGGCCATGAACACAACACCGCCGACTTAAGTAAAGACCCCGCTCGAGGTCATGAGCTCATCACAGACCGAGTCCTCATGGGAACTCAGTTTTCTTGAAAAGCTGTAACTTTCAGGCCATAATGCTCCCTTTCACTGCATCAGATTTTATCTGTATTTCTTGACTTGGAGTTCTGCCTTTGGACAAGTAGACAACCTTCTCTGTTCTGCTGTTGGAGCAGCTTCGGGTCTGAGGACCTGCAGCTTAATTCTTTCTTTCTCTGCAAGTGAGCAGCCCTATCAAAGCTGAATGTGAGATTTCTTGGAGAAGAAATAATCCATCAAAAGCATGAAGAGGAAATAGTGTTATAGGAGCCTAAAACATTTTATGCGGAAAAACGTAGCTTTAAATTTGTTCTAAATGTTGTAGAAAAAGTCATGTAGAGGCAACCTTGAGCACAGAGAGTTTGAGGTGATGGGTTA